GAACCAACCGCAGCCTGAGAAGGGCTGGGGACAGCCCCAGCGGGCACCTGCCGCCACGGCCACGCCCTCGGCCCACAAGCACACCGCGGGGCCCCACGCACCTTTCCGCAGCCGGGCACCTCCACGCCGTCCACGGGCCGCGGGATCTCGATGGACTTGACCAGCCCGTACTTGCTGCACTCGTCCCGCACGTCCTCCACGATCTCCTCGTACTCCTCGTCGTCCAGCAGCTCCTCGGGCAGCACCATGTTCATGAGGCACAGCACCTCGGTGGGGTGCCCGCCCATCTGCACCTGGGAGCTCATCAGGCCCGGCACTTGCAGGGTCACCGGCGTCTGGTTGATGGTGCTCTGGGGGGCGAAGGCGGGGTCACAGGGCCGCCCGCCCCGGGCCGCCCGCCCCGCACCCCTAGCCAATGGAAGATGACGTGCCGGGGGGCTCACCAGCGTGGCGTTTTTGGCCCCCACACTGGCCCTCTGGACGAGCAGCTTCTTGTCCCCCAGCTGCATCCCGTTCAGCCCGGCGATGGCCTGCGTTTGGAGGACCGGGGCCGCGGGGCGGCAGTCAGGGGCGGGAGCCCGGCACCCCGAGAGCGAGGCATGGGTGGGGGCAGTGGCAGAGGCCAGTTCCAGCCCCCACGCAGGCACCACCCTCCCAGCGGGGGCGGGCACGGGGGCTCACCTGGTCCGTGACGTTGATGTCCACGTACTCACAGAAGGCGTAGCCCTTGGAGAGCCCTGTGGCGCTGTCCTTGACCAGGTTGAAGGCCTTCAGAGGCCCAAAGGAGGTCAGCAGCTCTTTGACCTATGGCAGACAAGCGGCTCCCTCAGAGCGCGCTGGGGTGTCTGGGGAGGGGAGCGGGCAGGAGGGGGCAAGGGCTGACCTGGTCATCGTTCAGGTAGTTGGGCAGGCCCCCGATGAAGAGCTTGTGAGCAGAGTCAGGGACCACGGTGGACACAACTCCTGAGGGAGACAGACGCCGTCAACCCTCAGCAATCCGGGGTACCTCCAGGGAGGGGTAGCGGGGGAGACGATGGCCCCCTCGTGCATGCCCCCAGCAGCCCTCCCACGCCCCAGCCTGGAGCCAGGGTCAAGCACAGCGAGACGAGGGGCAGAGCGCGTCCTGGCTCCGATGTGCTGCCTGCGCCTGGAGCCTCGGGGACGGACAGGGACGGACAGGGCCGGGCCGGGCCGAGCCTGCAGCAGGCAGTGAAGCCCAGCAGGAGCAGCGGAGCTGGGCAGACCCAGCCCTCGGGACCAGAACATAGCTCGTGCCTCGGAGAAGTGCGTCACGTGGAGAGGCAGGGCCGGGGAGCAGGGTTTGGTGTCCAGGAGAAGCGCAGGGGCCCGGCCCCAGTGTCCAGGGGACACTGCCTGCACCCGGCACCTGGGCCCCATGGAAACCGGCTCTGGGCAGCTGCGCACATGGAGGCCTGGCAAGGCGCAGAGGCGCAGACACAGGCGGCAGAGCTGCCGTGCCCGGGCGCGACCCTGTGCAGGTCAAAGCCGGAAGGCCTCTGCCTTGGAGCCAGCGCCAGCCCAGTCCTCGCCTGCAGCACTGGAGCCATCCCCCATACTCACGCTGCCAGGGGGGGCTGTGCTCCCTGTACCCCGGGCTGCCTGGGCGCAGCCGCGTCCCCGGCACGCACTCTGCCCTGCACTGAGGCCCGCGCAGAGCACAGACGAAGCCGTGCCGGTGGGGGGCAACTCCCAGGGCTGAGGGCAGTGGAGCGCCCTCCAGGAGAGCTGGCTCTCCTGCCCCCTGGCTGGCCCTCCCCACCACAAGAGGCCGGAGGGCGCTCTCCAGGGTGCTGAACCCTCTGGCATTCAAGCCGGCCCCGGCCAGCGGGCCCTGCGTCCCCTCTAACTCAGGCTTTTACACTTCACGAGTGACCCCTCAGCGGAGAAAGAACGGAACGCCAAAACGCTGGCTCCACCGCTGAGGAGCACAAACCACAAACCCCCAACCCGGGCAGATCTGGGCTCCCTGCCGCCCGCCCCGGCACAGCACCGTGCGTCCGGCGACCGGCAGTCTGCCGCACAGGTCGCTGCACTGGCACACCCTGAAGAGCCTGCCCGGGAGGACGCGATCTGCCCTTCCGCCCCAGCCCAGTGCCAGGGAGGGCGGGAGCAGAGGCGGCGCCAAAGACGGCAGCTGCGGGAGGTCCTGCAGGGGCTGGGCACGCCCAGTGGAGCGGTGACAGGACGCTGGCCAGAGCGCTGGCCAGAGTGCACCCACTGCCCACTGCAGGGCTGCCCGCCGGGTGCTCCAGGTGGCAGAGGGACAGGAGCTGTAGGCCCCGAGCGTCCAGGGAGACCAGCCCCAGCGCCCGGAGGCTGCCGCAGCTGCCGGGATCGCCCACGGTGGGAGCCCTCCCCGGCACCGCCCGGCCCAGGTCCGAGGCGCCCAGCCCCCGCCTCAGGGGCGGAGCAGAGGCTCCCACCGAGCACCCCCCCACCTCCACCTGGACCCAGGGCCACGCCCCCGCCAAGGGCAGCCCGAGGTGAGGTTGCGGAGACCCTAGCCCCTCTCCCTGCTGCTCCCGGCTCGGCCGGAGGAGCGGCGCCCCGCAGACACGCGCACACCTGGGCCCCAGCACACGGCAGGCGGCAGACACGCACCGGGCACGTAGACGGAGGGATTCTCCGACATGCCGGGCAGGGGCTGGTAGTCGTGGGGCCGGCGGATCTTGAGCGACTGGCCCTGGAAGATGATGCCGTCGAAAGCCATGGCCTGGGTGGTCTCGTCCACCGAGCGGAACTGCAGCGACAGAGGAGGGGCCGGTTTCCCTCTGCACACGGCCGCGCCGGCCGCTGGGGCGGAGCAGCGCCGGGGCAGCGGCCGCCACGGAGGGGGCCGTGCCGCACAGACCCACGTGGGGGCCCCGGGCGCCAGCACGATGGGGGGACACGACCCCGGGCAGCTGCTCGCACCCCACTCGGGCTCACCTCCAAGAAGGCAAAATTCTTGTCCTGGTTAATCTGCACGGCCAAAACAGGGTTTCCAGGAGCCTGGGTCAGCCCCCCCAGGCGCATCTGGGCGTTGAAGAAGTCCATCATGGCTTCCTGCAGAGGGAAGAGGAGGTGGGGGGGGAGGTGGAGAGAGGAGGGGAAGGGTGAGAGAGGGAGACACAGAGGGGTAGGGGCGAGGGGAGAGGGGCGGGGGCAGGGCAGAGGGCAGAGAGCAGTGGAGTACAGGGCGGCACAGGAGGCCACGTGGGAACAGAAAAGAGCAGAGAGACGGCGAGATGGGGCAAGAGGCGGGGCCGCAGGGCCCGAGGGCCGCAGGGCCGCAGGCCGGCGGGCAGGGAGGAGGAGCAGGGAGCAGAGAACAGACCACGGAGGAGACAGCAGAGAGGGCCGCCCCGCGGTGAGGGGCGGAGGGCGCAGGGGTGCGCCGGAGAGCAGGAGAGCAGGGAGGAGCAGGACAGCGAGGGGAGGGCGCAGGAGGGGAGGGGCGGGGCGGGGGGGGAGAAAAGAGTGATGTGGCGGGGTCTGGCCCTGGAGTCCGGGGGCTGGTATCAAATGCAGCAAAGTGCAGGTGGAGAAAGTCAGAATGGACCTTACTTGCCTTCGACGACGGTAGCAAACTTTTTGTTGCTACGAGGGATCTCAGCCCCACAATATTTCACTTTAAAGAGAAATGGAAACAACTCTTTGATCTCGGGATTCTCGGGGGTGCCGGGGGAGGGGAGAGGGAGGGGAGCGGTGGGGAAGGCGGGGAGGTCAGGGCCATCAAAATAAAGAGCAGCGGCCACGGGGCGTGGAGAGGCGGGACAGGCGGCAGAGGAGAGGCGTGTCGCCACGGGGGCGGTCTGTGTGCATGTGTGCGTGTCGAGTCTCCCTGTCTCTCGTGCGGACAGACCCGTGGTGCGTAGGTACGGTAGGTGTGCTTGCGCCCTGGGTGGCTGAGGAGGCTGGGAGGGAGAGGGAGGGAAGAGGGGGAGGGAGGGCCGCCCAGCCCGGCCCCTGGCTGGCTCAGCTCCGTCGTCCGTCTGGGAGGGGGCCGGGGGCCGGCGGGAGCAGAGTCTGACCCGTGCGGGTGGGGGGGGGAGGACCAGGGGCACAGGGCGGGAGGGCGGGGCGGGCAGTACCTCGGTGATGCCGAAGGGGATGTTGCCCACGTAGAGACGCCGGGCCTGTCTGGTCATCTGGCTGCCAACCACGGGCACCGGCGTTGGCGTCACGGCCAGGCCGTCGGGGGTCATGGTGGGGAGGAGGGCGGTGGCCGGGATCTGGCCGGCAGCTTCAGGAGAGCACCCGTCAGGCCAGCCGGCCCCGCCCCATCCCCCCGGGCCCCCCACTCCAGGGCAGCACCGCGGGGGCCCCGGTCGGCAGCGGGCCCGGGCCTACCCTGCATGGCCTTGTACTGCATGGGGGTGATGTGCTCGAAGCCGGGCGGCGGCACGTCCCAGTACTTCCGGACCTTCTTCTTCTTCTCATGGCGCGGGGAGCGGCTGGGGAGGGGCGGGGGAGGGCGAACCTCAGCCTGGCCAGAGGCCCTGTGAGCCCTCCAGGGTCCCCTCGGGCCACCCAGCTGGGTCAGGACCCCCGGCTCTGGCTGGTTGTCAGGGAGCGGCAGCGCCGGGCCTGGCAGGGGTGAGGGCCGCAGGAGGGGCGGGGCGGGGGCTCACATCAGTCCGCTGTGTTCCTCTTTAGCGCCTCTGGTCAAAGGTTTGCTGGGGACAGGAGAGCAAGGCGTGGGTCTTCCTGCGGGGCTCGGCGCCCCCAGTCCCGCACCCGGCCTGGCCAGGGCAGCCGCAGTCACCACCGGGGCAAGACCTCGGCTCCCACTAGCAGCACCCGCGGGCCGAGCCCCAGGCTGGGGCAGGGCGCAGGTGAGCGCCAGGGGAAGGCCCCCCAGCGCCCCCCACCCC